AACATGATGAATTCGGTGGGACCCTGGAACAAGTATAAAGTGGAAGTATCTTGGGAAAAACAGGTGTGTGTTCATTCTGGTTATACCACAGCCTTGCCAGATCATCATCCAAACTCTGCTTGAAAGTATTTGTTGCCTCACTAAAAATCTAGTGCCATGGGTAGCTCCAATAGTAAAAAAAAAATTTTTTTTTTTTTTTTTTGAGACAGAGTCTCACTTTGTCACCCAGGCTGGAGTGCAGTGGTGTGAACACTGCTCATTGCAGCCTCTATCTGCTAGGTTCAGGTTATCCTCCTGCCTCACCCTCCCAAGTAGCTAGGGCTACTTATTATTTAGAGACAGGGTTGCCTTGTGTCGCCCAGGCAGGTCTTGAATTCCTGGGCTCCAGCGAGCCTCTCATCTTGGCCTCCCTAAGTATTGGGATTATAGGTGTGAGCCACCACACCAGCTATGTTTTTTAATTGAGCTAAAATTTATCTCATTGCAACAACTCTTATTCCTGGCTCTGCCCTCTGATACTAAATATAGAAATAATATGATAGTATATAAATTCATTGGCTCTTTAGATCACTTTTTTTTTTTTTGCAACTTTAAAAATGATTTCTTTTAAATTGCAGTTATCTTCCTGTAGGTCCAACCTACATCCAAATTAAAACAGAACAGAAAGGAGAAGACAAATGAAAAAAAGCCACACTGCTAGCTGACCCACCAGGCTCTAATGTAGTGTACTGCTTGCCAAGCAACACTTGATAGCACATCTACACATTCTTTTCTTGGTACTTTTAGGGAACATTCAGTGAGGACTCTAGCTTCTCAAAAGCAAAACATCCAGTTATTACATTAATGTTTTATCACCTTAAGATAGAATGAAAGGTTATATAGGATGCATGCCAGTAAAAGAAACAATCTTTATACCCTAGAAGGTTGTACTTCCAGCTAGAGTTAATCATAATGCCTACAGTTTGCTTAGCATTAAAAATGCTCAGTATACATCTATAAAGCCTAGCTACAAATACTTTTAAGACAGCTTTGTGGTCATTTTGTTTTTTTCTTTAGACGAAAGGAAAAAAATTGCGGTTCATTCACCATGCAACTTTTCACCACCCTGGTTGATATATTAAAGAGAGTTTAATTTTCATGTGCTGTATTGCCCACATTTTTTCAGGAAGCTCATAAGTAGGAAGAGCTGGAATGATAGCTTTTGAAGCGGTATATAAATAGGGCACAGGGCCTAGTGTATCACTGTATACACGTAGGTCCCCTCTTCTGCCTCCCTCCTCCCCCATTTTTTTGCGGTTTAGGTAATTGTTAATGAATGTTGAATAGAACCATTGGACAACGCGATTAAGAGAAATTATTCTCAAGTGGAATTATCTAATTTGATAAACATTTTAACCCTCATAAAGGATTTATTTAAAAGGCAAAGTTGGTTAATTCATAGAGGCAATTTTATTGCTGGCAAATATTAAAATTACAGTATTTTATTTAAAGTAAATTGAAAGTTACATGCTATAGTAGGTAGAGGTTGTTGACTGAGTTACTGGGTTTTACTGTTGATGCATGGCAGTATTCAGATATAATTTTGTCAAAATAAAACTGTAGGTGCTAGAGAAGTTGAAATAAATTGAGGCATGTTTTATAGCTTTGTTTTGGAGCTTACGTATAAAGTATAGTTACTCCTTTCATTGTAGTTATTTGAGTAAATTTTGACAGTTTTTGAAAATAAGTTGGTCATTCTGGGGAGCACATTTATGTGTTCGATGTGGTAGGAGTTTTTTTTTGGAAGACACTGGAAGAGTGCTGTTTTGCATACAAAATTTTTCTTTTTTTTTTTTCTTTTTTGAGATGGAGTTTCACTCTTGTTACCCAGGCTGGAGTGCAATGGCGCGATCTCGGCTCACCGCAACCTCCACCTCCTGGGTTCAGGCAATTCTCCTGCCTCAGCCTCCTGAGTAGCTAGGACTACAGGCACGTGCCACCATGCCCAGCCAATTTTTTGTATTTTTAGTAGAGACAGGGTTTCACTATGTTGACCAGGATGGTCTCGATCTCTTGACTTCGTGATCCACCCGCCTCGGCCTCCCAATGTGCTGGGATTACAGGCTTGAGCCACCGCGCCCAGCCACAAGATTTTTCATATGTAAAGCTCTCTGTATCTACATTTGCAGCTTTAATAAGAGATGTGGAAAAGTGGTTTTCCCTTTTTGACACATTTGCAATTGTTTTGGTGATATTAACAAGTAAGTATCTGTACTGTAGTTTTATTTGCCTTATGTTGCTCATCTAACATTTTTGGTCTTGAAATATTATCACTTAAAGATAATTAAGTGAGGAATTCTCCTGGGTATCTTGTAGTAGGAAAACATGGGAGATGCTTTTTAATACCAGGTGCAATGTGTTGCTAGTCAAGAGAGTAGTCATGTAAGTGCTTGCTTGGAAAAGTGATGCAAATAAATATAAATTTCATAAGGCTCATAATCATAAAATTCACTTGTGAATATTTGGTCTTAGAATTCAATTTCTGTGAATTGATTTAATTATATAAATCTTAGTGTTATGTTTGTGGAAAGCGTAGTCTTAGTAACTTCAGAATTGGTTTTAGGCCTGTATATGAGAGTTTCGTTAAGTTATAATACATTTACTATCTTACAAAAATGTTTTGCTAGTGTGATCATTTACCAACACATGGAAAAAGCAATGTAGTAAATTGAACTCTTGTTTTACTTTGCATTTATTTATTTTAGAGATGAGTGACTACTGATTGGATTATTAGAGAGTACCACATCATTTCTGTTTGAGGTGATGAAATAAAGTAAACCAAATAAAAGGGAAGAAGTGGGAGAATAGTATTTGTTAAATCCGTCTGTGTTGGTTGTTATATTAGATGCTTTCCAAATATTATTTTCCTACCCTGTGAGGATTTTGGCTGCATTCAGAGCTAATAGGTGAACACTTAAGTCATGGAAAAGATGTTATCAAAGGTCCTGCAGGTAGAGCAATAATTTACATGCTTTTCTTTGTTTGTTTTCATTTCTTTCTTTCATTCTTTTTTTTTTTTTTTTTTTTTTTTTGAAACAATGTCTTGTCCTATTGTCCAGGCTGGACTGCAGTAGCGTGATCATAGCTCACTACAGCCTTTTCTAGGCTCAAGCATGTGATTCTCCCACCTCAGCCTCCTTAATAATTGGGACTACAGTCACATGCCAGGCTTGGCCAAGTTTTGAATATTTTTTGGCAGAGATTGGGTTTCACCATATTGCCTAGGCTAGTCTTGAACCCCTGAGCTCAAGCAATCCTTCCTCAGCCTCCCAAAGTGCTGGGATTACAGGTGTGAGCCATAGCACCCAGTCTAAATCCTATTTTTCCTAAATTCCAAAATTCATGTTCATTTTGCTACATTATAACATTCAAATTTGTATATATCCTAGCTGTGTTAACAAAATTTATTTGGGGGATTATTTTTAACATTGAATTTCTTAGAGTAACAAATAAAATATGAAAATTAAATAATGGAAAACTAGTAATTTCTTTAGAAATCAAGATTCCAGTTTTAAAAATATCTTAAACAATTTTAATAAGGCCTTTTGGTAAATATATTTCAGGAACAAAGTACTTCTTGATGAATTACTTTTTATAGTATTGATGCCTTTGACTCATTAGTTTGTCTACATGTGGTTATTACCAATTCCTGAAGAATGACTATTGCGAAGTTTACCATAAATGAAGTAAAATGTGTTTGGCTTTGATTCCTTACTTTACCCTTTCTTACTGTTGTGAAGTTTGGCAAGTTTCTTTAGTCTCTGTACTTCCTGTTTGTTTGTTGTTTTTCTTTTTTTGGTGGTAACAGTCTCTGTTTCCTAGAATCTCCTAGGTGGTTGTGAAGATTAAGTGATTAAAGACCTCAACACAATATTAGCATTTATTGATTCTTAATGAATTTTTTGAGAACAGTAAATTCTAGCAATGAAGAACATTTGCTAGAAGTTTATATATACATCAACACATTTTGCTTTAGTAATGTTTTTGTTGGTTTGTTTGCTTTTGAGATGGAGTCTCGCTCTGTCGCCCAGGCTAGATGCAGTGGTACAATCTTGGTTCACTGCCACCTCTACCCTGTGGGTTCAAGAGATTCACCTGCCTCAGCTACCCAGGTAGCTGGGATTACAGGTGTGCGCCACCACAATATACTAATTTTTATATTTTTAGTAGAGACAGGGTTTCACCATGTTGGCCAGGCTGGCCTCAGACTCCTGGCCTCAAATATGTACCCACCTTGTCTTCCCAATGTGTTGGGATTACAGATGTGAGCCACCGTGCCCGGTCTTGCTTTAATAATTTTTTTTTGTGCTTGGGAAATCCTGCTTCTAGTACTCCACATTTTTAAAATGTTTATCTGTTTTATTCCATTTCATTAATTCAGCTTTCATTTCCAATTATTCTCGATTCAAATGTAGTAGAGGTGGTATTGTGGCTATGTTATTAGAATTTTTGCTTTTCTTTGTAGTATGTAATAACTCAACTGTCACAACTGCATACTTCCTCTTCTCCATAGCACCAGACCTTCTCCTTACACAGTCTCTCCTGTTACAATAAATGGCTTCACCAGGCCAGAAACTGTGGAGTCTTCTTTTGGTACCTGATTTTAAAGTTGCAATAGGTCCCCTTATCCAAGGGATGTGGTAGACCCTTGATATCTACTGTAGGATCATATGAATTTGAATCTATTTTGAAGCATATTTTTTTCTTTATGAATTCTTAACAGTTTGAACTTCCCTCTTTATTGTAAAGAAACTGAAAATTCTGATCCTAATGCCTAAGTCTTTACAAATTGTTTTTCAAAAACTTTGAAATACTAGTGTGATTTTGTGTACTATCTAAAAATGCCACTTTACTTTGTGTTTGGCCAAAAAGTGATCCTGTGTCTGAAATGATAAAATCAGCTTAAAATTTAAAAAATAAGTAACATACATTGGTGTTTTTTTTTTCTTTTGTTCTCTTAGCTTCTTAATGAAGAGGATAACTCAGAATCATTGGCCATAGAGCAGCCATCTACTTCAAACCCAGCACCACAGATTGTGCAGGCTGCCTCTTCAGCACCAGCACTTGAAACTGACTCTTCCCCTCCACCGTATAGTAGTATTACTGTGGAAGTACCTACAACTTCAGGTATGAAACAGCTAGTACTGTTTTTATTAGTTCTTTTTTTTTTTGACATTTTAGTTTTGCAAATTAAGACTGTTAATGGGCTTATAAACATATATGCACGTGGATATTTATATATGCATACACATACTGTGTGCACATATAAATATACAAATGTATACACACATATATATGTGTGTATGTATTTATGTGTACATACTTTATAGCCATAAAACAAGATACTGATGAGTGTGAGTGAGAATGTGGTATGGGTAACTGTAGGTGAAGGGTGTACGTAGTGTTATCCCATACATATGATTATTCTTGACTACAAGGTAGTAATTCCTGTTTGCTACTATTCATCTTATTCAGGTCAGTCTAAAGAACTAATTTATTTTTCTGGCTACAATTTTTATTTCCTCAGCAATGATAAATTATTCAGTTGGATCATTTTTGTATACTAGTGTGATTTTGTATGCTATCTAATTTGATGATTGTTTAATTTTGTATGTGATAACTGCTCTAGTCCAGTAACTTCTAAATCTAAATAACTTCTCTAAATATTTTGTATACTCATTATAAAATGTTTTCATTGTAAAAATCAGTTATTGAAAAACATTTTAACAGAAAACATTTTTCACTAGAATTTATCATTCTGTGATTAATGTCATCTTCTGCCCTCAAATTAATGCCAACTTTCTCAGGTTGTCATTTTATATTTGGAATATATAAACTCAGTATTTCTCCTACCAAATTCATTTACTTTTTTTGTGTAGTTACTGAAAATTATTTTTTTGTGGTGTCCTCACTGATGAAATTAATACATGCTTACTCCTTTTATTTGCATAAAATGTTTGTTTGGGCTGGGTGCGGTGGCTCACGCCTGTAATCCTAACACTTTGGGAGGTTGAGGCAGGCGATCCTGAGGTCAGGAGATCATGACCATTGTGGCTAACATGGTGAAACCCAATTGCTACCAAAACTATGAAAAATTAGCCAGGCATGGTGGCACAGTCCCAGCTATTTGGGAGGCTGAGGCAGGAGAATCACTTGAACCCAGGAAGGTAGAGGTTGCAATGAGCCGAGATTGTGCTACTGCACTCCAGTCCAGGTGACAGAGTCAGATTACATCTCAAAAAAAAAAAAAAAAAAGTTTATTTGATGAATATGCTTGCTCATTGCTCAATTTCATGCACAATTTTTATGTTGATATCCAACAATTTTGTCTTTCACTATAAGATTTAACACCTGGTTTGATGCCTGTTAAAATTTATTACATGCTAAATAATAATTCAGTATTTTATAAGTTTTTACAATTTAAATAATGTGAGTTTGCTACCTTAGATTTAAAAAAATTTTATTTGATTTTAATCTTCAAGAACGAGAATAAGTTGTTTTCCCCATGATGTTTATATCTAAGTAATAGAAGATGCTATTAATAATTCTAAGAGTGAAATTACGATCCTTTTGTTGTGACTACCATTGCTATTGCTGTGTAACAAACCACCCCAAATGTAATAGAGTAAAATAGCAATCATTTATTACTGCTAATTCTTAGGGTTCTGGGAATGGACTGGAATCAACTATGCTATTCTCTCCTGGAGTCTTACGTAATTGTTGTCTGATGGTGACTGGGGTTGGAATTATCTCAAAAGTTTCCTTTTTTACATATTGGGTGTTTTACACTGGCTTCAGCTAGGACCAGTGCTGGGGCTACTGGCCAAGACAGTTATATGTGGCTTCTTGTTGTGGCATACACTTCCTCAGTAGAGTGCTAGCAGGGTTCCAAGAAGAAATATTCTGAGAGAAAGTCAGATGGAAGGTATATCACCTGTTATGATACTGCCACTTTTGCCATATTTGGTTGTTAGAAATGAGTCACTACATTTAGTCCTTATTCAAGAGGAGAGGAATTGATCTCTGCTTCTTGATGAGAGGAGTTTTAAAGAACTTGTAGACTTAACTTTTAAAACTCACAATTGCACACTTCCTTTTCCCTATAGCCCCAAACTGTCTCCTTCTACAGTGTCTCCTGTTTCAATAAATGGCTTATATAGGCCAGAAACCTTGGAGTCTTCTTTCTGGTACCTGATTTAAAAATTATAGTAGGCCCCCTTATCCAAGGGAAATGTGTTCTCAGAACCCCAGTGGATGTCTAGAACTACAGCTAGCACTAAACCCTATAAATACTGTGGTTTTTCTATACACACTGTGTTTCTTTTTTTGAAATGGAGTTTTGCTCTTCTTGCCCAGGCCAGAGTGCAATGGTGCGATCTTGGCTCACTGCAGCCTTTACCTACTGGGTTCAAGCGATTCTTCTCACTCTGTCTCCGGAGTAGCTGGGATTATAGGCATGTGCCACCACACCAAGCTAATTTTGTATTTTTAGTCGAGATGGCTTTTCACCATGTTGGTCAGCCTGGTCTCAAACTCCTGATCTCAGGTGATCTGCCCACCTCGGCCTCCCAAAATGCTGGGATTACAGGCATGAGGCACCGTGCCCGGCCCATACTGTGTTTTTCCTATTTACATAATTATGATGAAGTTTAATGTTTAAATTAGGCACAGTAGGAGATTAACAACAAATAATAAACTAGAACAGTTAGGGCAATATACTGTAATAAAAGTTATGTGAATGTATTCCCTCTTTCTCTCTCTTGAAATATCTTGTTGTACTCTTCTTTATGTGATGATATGAGATGATAAAATGCTTACATGATGAGATGAAGTGAGGTGAATGATGTAGGCATTGTGATGTAGTGTTAGACGTAGGCATTGTGAGGTAGTGTTAGGCTATTATTGACCTTCTGTTGATATGCCAGACACAGGATTGTCTAGGTGATCCTGGACTGCAAAACCATCATGATGTGGATGAGTGTGGATTCTTGATAGTTGAAGGTTATTTTGCCAAAACCTTTTGGAAGAACACTGTAACTGGAAGTTGTTGTCTGTTTTCTATTAACTCATTGAAGTGTTGCTGCAGAGGTTGTAGTGCTTCAGTGATCAAATGGGTATCTTTGATACTGTGTTCCATTGAGGATCACATTCTATAATTTTGACATTTAATGCCTGTACAATTTGAAACACTTCAGCAAATTTTGGTAATGGCCACATTACTGATTCTGCTTCACTTTCTTCTTCCTCTTCCTGTTTGTCTGTAGATGACCCTAACTCTTCCATGTCCTCATTTTTTAACAGATCAGCATTAGTGATTTCCAGCACTGTATTATGTTCATGTTAGGGTCTGTATCAGTTGCTGATCAAATATGATTAAATACTAGGCAAGTGTATGTGTTCTTGACAGACCAGATGATGCACTGGTCAAGGTGCTAAAGCAATGAGGTTATATTTGGAGGTCAAAATAAAACCTTGACATTTTTATTTTCATAGCAAACAGATTCAGGATGGTCAGATGCATTGTCTATTATTAGTAGGACTTTAAATTTCAGCTTTTCTTCTTTCAAGTAGTTTTTCACTTCAGGGATGAAGCATTGATGGAACCATTCCACAAACAAGATGGCTGTCACTCATACCTTATATTGCCAGAATTTGGGCAGATAACTTTTCATTTTTTTCTCTGAGGGCACATGGATTCTTCACTTTGTACACTACACCTGGCTCTGTCACATGCCCTGCAGTGTCACCACACAGTACCCGAGTTAATCTGTCCTTCCATGTTTTATATCTTGCTGCCTCCTTTGAACTTTGATAAATGTCAGTTCTATCAAGCATCTTCTCCCAGAGAGCCCAGTTTCATTGCAGTTGAAAACTTGTTTAGACGATATTCTTTCTCCTTAATCAGCTTCTTCAGCTCTGCCAGAAATGAGACAGCAGCTTCTTCATTAGCAGACACAGACTCTCCAGGAATTTTATATTTTTCAGTCCAAACCTAATCCTCAATCTGTGTGACTATTTATTTGCAGTAAATGGCTCAGTGTCTCCAGTTTCAGGAGATTCCTTGCTGAGATCTCTGTAAAGGCTCGGTGCCTTCTGGTACAACACATTGCCATCAATCAGAACATGTTTCTGCTTATGTCCTTCACCTACAAATTTAATTCCTCTTCCATCTTAACTAAGCACTTACCACACATTGTGGCCAAAACTTTGGCAGTTTGAGATGTGACAGCAAAACTAGCACAAATTTCTTTTTCCTTCACAATTTCACAGATAGAAGATTCATTTTTACTGTAGATCTTAACAACCTCAGCCTACATTTTTTTTTTCTTTATTAAGGCAAGAACTTTCACTTTTTCACTTAAAGGAAGTACTTTACTGCTTCTCACTGGCATATCTGAATTTCCAGCATCTCTGTTCTTGTGTTTTGCAGCCGTTGTTAAGTAAAATAGAGTTACTAGCACATAAGTACTGCAATGCTTCAGTCGTAGATTTGATAAACTAGAGCTGCTAAATGACTGATGGGTGGGTAGTGCTGACAGCATATATACACTGGACAAAGGGATGATTCATATCCTGAGCAGGACACAGTGGGTTGGTGTGAGATTTTATCATGTTATTCAGAACAGTGCATAGTTTAAAACTTATGAGTTGTTTTTTTCTATAGTTTTCTGTTGAATGTTTCTGGATTGCATTTGACCATGAGGTCACTGAAACTGTGGAAAGCAAAACCATGCATAAGGCGGAACTACTGTGTATGGTTTTTCTCTTTTAATTTTTGATGAAATGAAATGTTATTTCTTTAAGCTAGTCCAGCTCCATGTTCTGAAACACATGATTTTTCATGTCATGTTCTAATCTATTTTGGATTTAGACTTGTGAATATTTTAAAGTATTTGCAGTATTAGTGAGATCTATAACTTCATGCTCTGAGCAGATGGAGAGACGAGGTGGAGCTGCTAAAATTTCAGACAGGAGATGCTGGTAGTTTGGACTAGGGTGCTGGTGGTGAAGAAGAGTATGTGGATTCAAGCAGTATGTAGGAAGTAAAAATTAATGCGTTGGTGACAAATTGGATAAGAATGAGGAAAAAGGAGTTAAGAATGATGCCCAAGTATTACTGAAAAGGA